ACAAGGAAATAATGTAATAAAGTAATAATATGGTAATAAATAACAGAGCGACGTCTTTAAATAAATAAACAAATAATTAATAAAATAATATATAAACAATAAGTAAATAAATAAAACAAATAGATAAATAAATAAATTATAAACAAATAAATAAATAAATATAAAAAATAAATAAATAAAAATAATAAATAAATATATAATAAAAACAAAAAAAATAAAAAAATAAAACAAATAAATAAAAATAAAAAAAAAAAAAAATAAAATAAATAAAAACGATAATAAACGAAAAATCAAAAAAAATAAATCACAAATCTTTCAAAGCTCGATCCGCCCACTACAGCTGTATAATTGCTCATTATCTCTCGTAATCGTCTCAACGCCATTTAATAAGACGCTGGAGACTTCCCTGTCGCTTCTGCTTCGCCGCCTCTCTTCCCTACCCCCTCACGCCCACATCCACGCCCACGCTTCCGCTGCTATCACGACTCCGACATGATAAACCTTAATCACAGGCGCGCGTGGCTTAATCATTACAGCAAACTGAAAAACTAAAAACTAAAAAAAAAAAAAAAAAATAATATAATATAATAAATAAAGACAAAAAAAAAAAGAAAAAAAACTAGATACAAATGCGCAAAAATAACAAGAACAGAAAAAGCCAAGCGCAAGCCCGACGGCGCAAAAACACGTATAAAGCAAGACTCGAACCGGCATGTCATATTCACCCGCGTCACGTGACCGAGCCAGACGAGACGCCGGCTCCCGGGGATATATTTGCAGCTATTTGCAGAGAGAGGTTGCAAGGGGCCGACATTTAAAAAAAGAATTTACTATGAATGCATAACCTATACATATACATGAAGATGTAATGTAACAGCAAAATATGAAAAAAATATATATATAAGGGTACATAAACAAACACACACATACATGCAAATGTCTGTACAAGTATGCATGTATGTATATGTGTGTGTGCGTGTGTGTGTGTTGTGTGTGTGTGTGTGTGTGTGTGTGTGTGTGTGTGTGTGTGTGTGTGTGTGTGTGTGTGTGTGGTGTGTGTGTGTGTGTGTGTGTGTGTGTTGTGTGTGTGTGTGTGTGTGTGTGTGTGTGTGTGTGTGTGTGTGTGTGTGTGTGTGTGTGTGTGTGTAGATATAAATATACATATAATAAATAAATACATAAATATATAGACTCTATACATAGATAAATAGATATAGATAAATGATATAGGGAGACAGCCCGAAAATAGAAAGAAAGACAGAAAACAGACAAACAGACCCGACATGCCAGAACACAGGAAGCCAAAAAAGGAAATCAAGACACAGCCCAAGCACGCCAACCCAGCCCCCCCCCCCCAAGCAACCAACCCTCTTAATCCCTCGTCTCAAGCATCTCCTCCTCCTCGGCCCATTTCCCCTCTCCTCCTTCTTTCGACGCCCAAGAAAAATAAGAAATATCGAACAGGCCCCACGGAGCGTGAAGGACCAGCGCCCGACGAATAATAAGCATGGGCGGCTGGAACGGACAGCCGTGGCAACACTTGCGAGAAAAGGGACAAACAAAAAGAAAGAAAGAAAAAAATCCCGTATTAGTGCCAGTGCCATTGCAATCTCCCGTCGTTTGATAGAGAGAGTGGGGCTGAGAGGCGGAAGAGGAAGAGGAAGAGGAGGAAAAGGAGGAAGAGGTAGATGAAGACGGAGAGGAGAGAAGAGATAGAGGGAGATGCAGAAGGGGGAAGGGGGACGAGACGGGAAGGGGGAGAGGTAGAGTGGAGGGAGAATGACAGAAAGAGGAAGAGGGAGAGGGGAAGGGAGGAGGAAGAGGAAGATGGAAAGGATAGGAGAGGGGAAAGGGGAGGGAGAGTAGGGCTGAGAGCCGGAAGAGGAAGAGGGAAAGGAGAGAAGGGGAGGAAAGAGGGAAAAGTGGGGAAGGGAGAGAGGGAGAGTTGGAGGGAGAATGGGAAAAGGAGGAAGAGGGAGGAAGAAGAGAAAGAAGGAGAGGGGGGTAAGGGGAGGTGAAGGGTGGAGAGGGAAAATGGAGGGAGAAGAGGCTAAGACGTGGGAGAAGGGGGGAGGAAGTGGAGGGAGAGAGAGAGGAGAGGAGAGAGAGGAGGGAAAAATATTTCAAATTCAAGAGAAGTGGGGAAAAGGAAGGGGAGGGGAGGGACGGGAGAATAGAAAGGAAAAGGGTTAAGGAGAGCGAAAGTTAGGGAGGAGGAAGGGTATGGCGAGGAAGAGGGAGGAGAGAGAGAGAGAGAGAGAGAGAGAGAAGAGAGAGAGAGAGAGAGAGGAGAGGAGAGGAGATGAGAGAGAGAGAGAGAGAGAGGGAGAGGAATGAGAGTGAGAAGAAGAGAGAAGAGAGGAGAAGAGAGAGAAAGGTGAAGGAGAGGAGGGGAGAGGAAGAGAGAGAGAGAGAGAGAGAAGGAGTAAGAGGAGAGAGAAGAGAGAGAGAGAGAGAGAGAGAGAGAGAGAAAGAGAGAGAGAAGAGAAGAGAGAGAGAGGAGAGAAGAGAGAGAGGAGAGAGAGGAGAGAGGAGAGAGAGAAGAGAGAGAGAGAGAGGAGAGAGAGAGAAGAGAGGAAGAGAGAGAAAGAGAGAGAGAGAGAAAGAGAGAGAGAGAGAGAGAGAGAGAGAGAGAGAGAGAGAGAGAGAGAGAAGAGAGAGAGAGAGAGAGAGAGAGAGAGAGAGGAGAGAGAGAGAGAGAGAGAGAGAGAGAGAGAGAGAGAGAGAGAGAGAGAGAGAGAGAGAGAGAGAAAGAGAGAGAGAGAGAGAGTAGAGAGAGAGAGAGAGAGAGAGAGAGAGAGAGAGAGAGGAGAGAGAGAGAGAGAGAGAGAGAGAGAGAGAGAGAAGAGAGAGAGAAAGAGAGAGAGAGAGAGGAGAAGAGAGAGGAGAGAGAGGAGAGAGGAGAGGAAGGAGAGAGAGGAGAGAGAGAGAGAGAGAGAGAGAGAGAGAGAAGAGAGAGAGAGAGAGAGAGAGAGAGAGAAGAGAGAGAGAGAGGAGAGATAAGAGAGAGACACAGAGAGGAGAGACAGAAGAGAGAAGCAGACCAGCTACGGAAAAACGCCCACGCCCACCAAGAAGGAGAATGGCACTCCCCGATCTCGCCCCATAAGAGCCTCCGCCCTCACGTCCTCGCCATGTAGCGCCTTGGGGCCTAATAGACAACTCCCAGGCGCCCAGATTGACCCCGCGGCCGCCATGGGGATCGCATGGGCGTGGGCGTGGTGTCTTCTCAACGGCGGGGCGATGCTTGCGGAAGGTAGGACGGAAGGAAAACGCGAGAGGGAGTTATTCTACGACGAAAACACGTGAGGAAGTTAGGGTCCAAGTTATTCCACGACGAAGGGAAAACACGAGGGGAAGTTCGGCTTCAGTTAATCTAGGACGGAATTTAAACGCGCGAGATAGTTGGTCTCTTAAGTTATTGCACGTCGTAAGGTAAACACAGGAGGAAGTCTGGTCTAAGATAATCCACGACGAAAGGTAAACACGATATTAAGTCTGAAGTTATTCTATACAGCAGTGGACTCGTGGACGCCAGGTTCCAGGAAATACCGAAGCTCATGGGAGGAAAGTTAAGCTGCTATATCATCGCAAACGAAAACGTTCTACGCGTGCAAGGGAACTCACGTATAACTTAGGATACAAGCGATAACATAAGTTTCTTTGCAGACGGAATGGGCAAATACCGTCGCGCCTGGATGAGAAAGCAAACTGTGTTGCAGAGAAAAGCGGAGAAAGTTTGCCTGCCCGAATTCGGGGGTTGCAAGGCATGCTGCTTGAGAATGTGGCATGAAAAAAAAAATATGAACTCTGTGTAGTAAGAACTACGAGACGAAACAAGTCTGGCGTATCACGATGCATGCGGTCTGTTCTCTTTACTAACAGTGTCAATCAGAGTCTAAACACTTTCCCAGGGCTGCCCTTGAAACCATACAGTTATCAAGTCATAAATGCTCAAGTCTAACGGAAATAACGACCGGAAATTCAGCACACCTTAAACTTCAAAAACAGGTGATTCTCGGAAAGGACAAAACTGCCAATTACGGCAACGAAATAGAACTACTGCCCATGAAATAGAACCAGCGCTCCAAAAGACAAAAAGAGACAGAGACAGAACAATAAGGTCCGTCAGTGAGAACGTGTTGGGGGTTCAAGGTAAGGCCACCATTAGCGCTGCGTCCGTGAGGCTGCCGAGCGTGGTGGTTGACATTTAAGTGTCTCTGTAGCTTGCAATAGCAGGCTGGTGCGTTGAAGTATGTTGTAGGTGTGTTGAGGTATGGTGTAGGAATGTGGAGGAACGTTGTAGGAGCGTTGAGGTATAGCGTGTGTACGTTGGGGTATGCTGTATGTGATGAGGTATGTAGTATGTGTTAAGGTATGATGTACCCACGTTGATGTATGCTGTGTGGGTTAACGCATGTTGTAGGTGTGTTAAGGTATGCTGCAAGTGTTGAGGCATTATGCCGAACGTGCGTCTATTATCTGACTCGATTAGTGTGTTCTAATCAGCGATAAAGCCATGTGGTAAAAGAAAAAAAATGTATTTTCTCGATTACTCATTCAGAATTAAAAAAAAAAAAAATCACTATCGTTGGCGTCGAGACCCGTTCATCTCCCAGAGCCTCGGACGCACCGTCGACAGAACACGTGACAACTCGGCGAGACGAAGCTGCCCCAAAAGTGAGTGCGAGAGCTACACTTTTCTTGGCAACAGGCCGGCACTTCCACAAAACCCACAATGACCAGCGGGCGTGTGAGTGGAGGAGGAGGAGGGCCCCGCATCCACTCTGGGCAGGTGGACAAATCTGGTGAACAGGGGCTGGTGGAGGCATGACTTGGCTGACAACAGTTACGCCACATATACCCCTGTGCCCTGGCTTATCGCTCCAACTGTCATTTTGTTTAGTATTTCGCTGTAACGTGGACATGGAAAGAACATTTATAAACGATTAAAAAGTAACGGTATTTTAAAGGTAGAACAATAGGGCAAAAGTACATACCTAAGACTGGTCTACATTTCTTACGGCGAGCAACAAAACAAGTTTTCTCTCAATTGTGCACTTTGGCAATCTCGAAGTATAAGAGATAAGGAACTAAGCACCACAACTTTCTGGTTGATCACTATAGTGAACTTCAAAAGTATAATCAATGCTACACTTTAGCATTCATACATAAAAACAAGTTTGAGAAATACGTGACTACCACGGCGCAAGTGTTTCGCTAGAGAGCGCGCGTATGCTTCCTCTCACCGCTTAGATAACACTGAACTCTGCACGTTTTCTCGTCGACGTCCGACCTCGCTGTGCCAGTCGAGTTGCCACATTATGTTTTTGTTAAGCGACTTTGCCGGAGCGGAGGGCCTAAGAATTTAATTATTTATGTGGGATTATTATCTACTTGTTAATGCGATGAGTGTTCTTCATAGAACTATGAGTATCTCTGCTTCATTCTCCGTTTATATATGTGTTTAAAACACTACCGATAGTTTCGGATTTGAGGTTAATGAAAACTAAATGGTTTTATAAACATCAAAATCGAATTATTCTGTGACACAACTTCATAATATACTTCCGATCCATAAGATAAACACCACCAGCCGTTGTGACTAAGAAGGCCGAAACAGTAGCCTTCTCCTGCAGGAATTGGAACGAACAGGTTTCCATGGCAACTCACATCAGGTGACGGAGAGATGCACCAAAGCGAGAGAAAAATTCGAGATTAAAATCAGACCGAATAAGCTATGCATGCATTAGAATGTGAGGCAACATGGGGTGACTCGAAACCTAATAACCAATCAAGTGCAGACATTCCAATCAGCTAAAGATATGACATTTCTCGCGCGCTGTTTTAAGAGACTTTAATGATGTAGGCTCCGGAGACGCGCCGCCGTAAAATTCTGGAAGAAACGGATATGCAAATTGGTGTTACAGTGTCAAGGCAAAGTGGCTCATCGGAGCAGATTCTGTAAGAGTTGACCTACGCGGTGCAGCAAGCAACATTCTCTGGCAAGCACAGAATATCATTTTAAGACGGTTAAATAAGTGCTTTGGCTTTTCCCTGCCAAAGCACTCGGCGGTTCACCTAATTTTCATTGTTGCACCTAGCATAATCTTTAGGGGAGATTTTCTCGTTAAACTTACTGCCTTCTTGGTCTACATGTAGCACTTATGTAATGGCCACTTGATATATACACTTGATATATCTATTTTCGATACTCCTAGTCATATTACCTATGGTATCACTTTGTAACCACGCACGGTTGTGTCTCTGATAATTTTTTTTCTTCTTTAACCTAGCCTCAAATCACATTCATTTTCTCGTTGACATGTTTACAATCCTTCTTAAGCCTTATCCAACATCATGTCCTCACTCACCTTTGCACTTTCACTTTTGTTATGTAATCTACACCGACCTTTTCCTATGCTCAGTTAACCTTATTCATTACTTACTTTCTTACTTCTTTCTTCCCTCATTTATCCTTCGCCTTTTCCTCTTCCCTGTTCTCAGTTTCACTCACCCGACCTCTTCTTGCACTCAATTATGCTTCTTCTTTACTTACTCTTTCTTCCCTCATTTATCCTTCGCGTTCTTCACTCTTTCTATGCTTAATTGTGCTTACCCTTTACCTATTCACTTCCTTCTTTCTTTTTTCTTCTTACTTATTCCTCCTTTCTTCTCTCTTCTTCTTTCTTTCTTCTACCTTCTTACCTCTTCCTTTTACCTTCTTACCTCTTCCTTCTTTCTTTTACCTTCTTACCTCTTCCTTCTTTCTTTTACCTTCTTACCTCTTACCTGTTTCTTCTTCCTTTTTTCTTCTACCTTCTTACCTCTTCCTTCTACCTTCTTACCTCTCCCTTCTTTCTTCTACCTTCTTACCTCTTACCTGTTCCTTCTTCCTTTTTTCGTCTACCTTCTTACCTCTTATCTCTTTCTCCATACTCCTTCCCTCATTCACCCTTCGCCTTCTCCACCTGTTCCTTCTCCCGTCTCACTCCCCTTTCTCAACCCCCCCCCCCCCCGAGCCTTCCACCGGCCGCTGTTTAAGTTTCTTCTTATCACCGGAATCCTGTGTGACGTCAGCATCGTCAGTCTACAGATGAATGGCTGGAGAAGGGGCGGGGAAAGGAGGGGGGAGGGGGAGGGGGTGGAGCGAGGGAGGGGGAGGGGAAGGAGCGGGAGGGGAGGGGAAGGAGCGGGGGAGGGGGAGGGGAGTGGGGAGGGAGGGGGATGGGGTTACTTTGGGATTATAATACAAGCCGATTCGGGGGGTAGGAGGAGGGGGAGGAGGAGAAGAGTGGGGAGGAGGAAGAAAGGGAGAGTGGGATGGATGGAGGGAGGGAAGGAGGATGGAGAGTAGAGTGGATGGGTGGGTGAATAGATGGAGGGAGGGAGGGAGGGATTAATGGAGAGATGGGATGGATGGAGAAAGGGAGAAAGGTAGAGTAGATGGAGGGACGGAGGGAGGGAGAAAAGTAGATTGGATAGATGGATGGAGAGAGGGAGGGAGGGAGGGAGAAAAGTAGATTGGATTGGAGGGAGGGAGGTAGATTGGATGGAGGGAGGGTCGACTGGATGGGTGAATGGATGGATGGATGCATAGATGGAGGGAGGGAGTGGAGGGAAAAAGTTAAATGGATTGGATTATAGAGAAGAGAGAGAGAGAGAGCGATGAGAGAGAGAGAGAGTACAGAATGGCACCATCGACCATGATAGAGGACGCGAGAGTGATTGGCACTCCACGATCAAGGCACAAAGACTTCAAGCCTCCGCGGAACCTCCAAAGGCCCACAGAACAGCGATTCCAGGAAGTCCGTCGCGCGGAACACGTGACATCGAAGTCTCGGCGAGTCCAAGGTTAGAAAAAAAAAACTCATAGACCTACTTGTTTACAGTTTTGCGCGCGATTTCTCCCGAAGCTTAACCTCCGCCTTTGATCCTTGGCATAAACAAAATACGAAATCCCTTTTCCATTAAGAATTCGGGCCAAAAACCTGACTCGCTGCTGGAAGTGGCAACAGATCCATGATTCCCAAGATAAAATTCCATTAGGGAATATCATTTCCGGTAAATCCGAGCAGGAAAAGATCCCAGCGTTTGGTAGGACTTGGAATAGTTCCCATGAACTAAGGTCTGCCGGGAGACAATGGAACAAGGTTAAATGAAACTTATATTCGGGAGTTCAGGGAGAGTTCCGCCATTTTTTTGCATGTGTGTGTGCGTGTGTGTGTGTGTGTGCGTGTGTGTATGTGTGTGTGTGTATGTGCGAGCGTGTTAGGGTGTATGTGTATCTGCTCTGGATAATTGATTTGAAAGTTTATAATTTGGATGTTGCGAACAGAGAAACCGTCTGCGAAGATGGGGAGGATAAAATCGTGAAGGAATTTAGAGTAAAGGAATGTTGGTGGTGCATGGGGAAGCGAGACAAAGAAAATAGAATAAAAGAGAGAAAAATGGAAACGAGAAAAAAAACAGCGAAGGAGTCAACATAAGCAATAACACACAAATCACAGAAAATGGGAGGTAAAAAAAAAACACACAAAGAAAGGGAAGGTTAGCCAATCTCCCGTGATCACCCCTCTCCCTCCCTCCCTCCCTCCCTCTACCCCTACCTCCTTTCCTCCCTTCCTCCTTTCCTCTACCCCTCCTTGCCTTCCTCCCTCCCTCCTCGACCTCTCCCATCATTCCTCCCCTACCACTCCCCTCTCTCTACTCCCACCACTCCTCTACCCTCCCCTCCCCTCTCTCAACCCCCACACCCACCCTCTCACCCACACCCACCCCATGGAAACTTAGACAACACACAATTCCTTGGGGCCGGCATCCTCGCCTCACGATAGAGGGAAAAGGAAGATGAGGAGAGAAGGAGGAGGAGGAGGAGAAAGATTCGCATCACGAGGGGTGACGTGAGAAAAGCATAGAGAACACAACACCCCCTCCCCACTCTCCCCTCTCCACGCCCTTTATCCCGTCGACACTTCGCAAATCCGCGCCGAAAAGTCTTGTGTTCCTCGCCGGCAGGAGACGAGGGCGGCGTCCAGACAGCCTCTCTCGCCCGCGCCCTTATCTCCCCCGTTATCTCCCCGGCGTCCTTGTATCCGACGACAGCGAATGTTAGAGTGGCGGGGAAACGTTTATGGAAGCGAGAAAAAGCGGCCGAGGTCTTGGGTGTAGAGTGTACCCAATTTCACGACAGAGCGAGATTTGCTGTAGAGTGGTGGCGCCTCCAACCGGTAGATTCGTTTCGTTAAATGTCTGTCTTTACGTCATCTCTGAAGGGAGGTTCAGGCTCGTATCTACCATCTGAAATCGACTACAGATGGGAAAATAGAATGAGGAATTGCTGATAGTGATTATGAGGAAAATCACGAACAAACAAATGGCAGGACTGAGGATAGGTAATAAAACCCCCCCATACAATAAGCTTCTGGATGAAACCGGTAGCAAACAACCTCCTCCCCCCCCTCTCCCCCCCTTCCTTCCTTACCTCCCCTTCCTATCCCTTTCCCCTCCCTCCTTCCCCTTCTCCTCCCTCCCTTACCTTCCCCTTCCCATGCTTTAAAACCTCCCACCTCCCCTTCCTCTCCCTCTTCCCTTCCCGTCCTTCCCCTCCTTCCTCCCTCACCTCCCTCTTCCCATACCCTATTTTCCCCTCTTGTTCCCTTCAACTTCCCCTCATTCTC